AAGGTCGTGTCTTGATATCAGCAGCAGCAGTACCACAAATCAACTCACATGCCCAAGGAATGCAGGGAAACGCGGTCACATCTCAAACACACCTGCACAAGCTTCCAATGGCAGAGGGCGCAGAGGGCGCAGACAGGCACCGGAAGCGTTGGGGAAGTGCACGGGTTCAGGCTGACTCCCTGGCTTGGCACTGGGGGTGACACTTGGTGGGGCTTGGGGGACCGTATGGGGTGCTTGGGAACGAACCCGGGTCTGCCAGGGGCAAGGCAAGTGCCCTACCCACCTTACTATCTCTCTGGCCCTGGTGCGCTGTTTTTAGAAGACATTATCAAGCCAACGTGTTTCCCCCTTGCATCTTCCCCTTCATTCCAGTATTTATTTTCCCTTTCCCTCCCTTTCTCGCCGAGGCCAAGGGTCGCACACTCTAGGTGGTGGTTACCCACTTGGGGGATGGGGGGTCTCACTCGGTCTGCCAGAACTCCAGCCATGCCCAATTTTCCCTATTTCCAGTGAAGAATATGCCACAAGAAAAACATCTGGTTGAAAACTCACATAAATCAATGCTTTTGGGTCTACAGATACTTTTAAGGGACTAAGCATGGAGAAACCTCACCGCACAGAAGATAGAGCCAGAGTTCTGGCCCGGGCGCCCTTAAGAGCCAAGCTGACACTTCGAAAGAGAAATTTTTCAGAAGTGCTCCCTGTAATAAAGATAGTAAACAAAACATATAAAATCATATTTGTAAACAAAAATCCACCTTTCAGAAAAAGACAACATTTAAAAAAGAAAATGTCCCGGGGACCCGACAGATAGTTCAGTGCGAAGGTGCTTCCCAGGCATCAAAGAGTCAAATATGGACCCCTGAGGACCCCAAAGAGTAACCCCTGAGCATCACCAGGTGAGGCCCCAAGCAAAAACCAAAGCAAAGCAAACAAATAAATATGTGCTGAAAATAACCAGTAGGAAACAGGCTGGGACGGGCGTGTGGGAGAAACAGAATTTCCCGCACACCCTGCACACAGCCCTGAGGTCACACTGCAGAACCTCAAGTGTTTGAATGAAAAATGTAAGCAATTTTATTTCTAAAAATGAGAATGTAAAAAAAGAGTCTTCAGGTCTTGCCAAGACTCGATCAATGTGAAAGGCGGGTCACGAAAGCAAAATCACTCACAAACCTACGTTTCTTCTGCAGGCACCTGGGCAGCGGGTGCCGCTCCTCGAAGTGGGGGCCCGGGAGTATGTGCACAAATTCTTCGATTCTGCGCCAACCAGGCCGGGAGAGCAGCTGGGCCAGCCGCATGCTGAGGGACGCATAGCCGAGATGTCCGTGGGGTTCTGCGGAGGATTCGAGAGGGACACCTGGAGTCAACCAACTCCTCTCTGCCCAATGGGCCATGGGATCTTTTTTTGTTTGTTTGTTTCTGCGGAGGCCATACCCTGCGGTGCTCAGGGCTCCCTCCTGGTGCTGCACTCAGGGATCACAACCTGGGTTGGCCGCATTAAAGGCAAACGTCCTCCACGCTGCCATCCTGGATTTGACTTTGGGGAGGAACACAGTGTGCTCCAGCCTACCCTGCTCAGCCCTGCCATCTCCACCCTCTACCCAATTTCCCAATCTCTCTCTTGTCTCCTTCTCTCTCTCTCTCTCCCCCCCACCCCTACCCCTACAGCTTTATGGATCAGACCTGGTGGTGCAGAGCTGACGCATGGCTCTGCCCTCACCTCTCCTGGCCCTGAGTCCTTCTGTCTCAAACCAATCTCAGAAAGCTGCTTGGTGCCCCTGTGTGCTGGAAGGTGCCAGTGCCCGGCAGCACGTGCAGAGGGCAGGTGCGTCGCCAAACCCCAGCACCGCTGGATCTGAACATTCAACTGTCTGCCCGGGAAAGATTCCATCTGACCCCCACAGAAGAAAAACTGTTCATCGATTTGGTGAGAAACTTCTCCTATAGAAACTTGGCCCACTGGGGGGAGGGAATGTGGAGAGCTCTAAGTCCAGCCAAGCTACTCTCAGGCATTCTTCCAGGGGGCGAGGCCCCAGGGCACAGCCAAGCCCAAATCTCCCAAGGGTGAGAGTGACAGCCCCCAGCATCACAGTCACCCCCAGTCTGAAACCCCCCCTCTCTCACAGTAACTCTGAGTCCAGCAGCCCCAACTGCCCACAGTGAGTCAGTTGTGTTGGTCCCCAATCCTCTTACTTGAGGCTGGCCTTTTCCATGACCAGAGGCTTCCTTGAGTCCAGACCAGCCTTCCCCGCCCTGAGGCCTAAGTGGAGAAGGGCCCCCGCTTCCCACCCCCAGCCCCCATTTTCAAAGAGTATCCCCCCAAAAACCCCACTCAGTCCTGGCTTCTGCAAGGGCAGCGCTTTCCCACCAGCCAGGAGTAACTCCTGAGTGCAGCGCCAGGAGTAACCCCTGTGCATTGCCAAGTGTGACCCCTGTCACTGTCCTCCCATTGTTATTCGATTTTGCTCAAGTGGGCCCAGTAAAGTCTCCATTTTGAGACTTGTTACTTTATTTGCCATATAGAACAGGTCAAGGGTAGCTTGCCAGACTTTGTCCTGCAGGCAAGATACTCTCCGGAAAAAAAAAAAAAAAGAAAAACAACAACAACAAAAAAAAAAAAAAACCAAGATCCCAGGAATCATCTCAGCATGGAAGTGTGCTTGAGGGCGGGAGACAGCTCCAATGGCTTCTTTCCTTTCTGTTTCCTTTCTCTGATTTTGGGGCCAAACCTGTCAGTGCTCAAGGCTTATTCCTGGCTCTGTGTTCTGGGCTAATTCTTGGCAGTGACTGGGGGAACCATATGTGGTCCTGGGGACCAAACTCACCCTAGCTACTGCACTGCTTCTAGCTCCAATTTGGTTCCTTTCAAAAAATCATCTCCTCCACTTTCAACACAAATCCCGACGTGTCTACACACAATCAGCTCCACTGCTGTGGGTCCAGAGAGACGGGTCATCGGGGGCAGCGCACGTTCAAGTCCAGCTGTCTGTTCCTCTGAGCACTGCCCCGTGTGGGCCCTGAGCACTGTGGGGTGGGTGCTGAGAATCATAAAGCAACAACAAGAACTCCTGCATCGGAGAATGTGGGGAGAGAAAGTGACCGACGGAAGAAAAATACTTCTCGGATGCTTTCCAAATCCTAAGCCCCTCGGAACAGCCCGGGCGCCAGCGTCTGGAGACAGCACGCCACGGTGGCCGCGGGACCCAGGGCCTGAGCACATGCTGAGATACACAAGGTCGGCAAGACCTCGCATTCCAGCTCAAAGCAGAGGGGCAGCCGCTGGCCCAGGCAGCCTGCACGCAGCTCCTACACGGGCCTGCCATCGCCCTCGGTACAGCCACGGGCGCAGAGCTGGGGGGTAATGAGGAAGCCCAAGTTCCCCTTGTTTTTTAGATTTCTCTTAATTGTTTCTTTTTGGGGGGGTCACACCCAGCAATGCACAGAAGTCACTCCGGGCTCTGCACTCAGGAATTACTCCTGGCGGTGCTCAGGGGACCATATGGGATGCTGGGAATCGAATCCGGGCTGAGCCGCGTGCAAGGCAAACGCCCTACCCTCTGTGCTATCACTCCAGCCCTCTCCCTTAATTAAATGTTTGATCAGAAGTAAGTGTGTGATGTGAAGAGACTATGAGCTCCCGAAACTCCTTCCCCACGGAGGCACCCCACAAGCCCCATCTCTCACACCTCCGCACCAGCAACCCTAGCACCTCTGCCAGATCCATCGAGGGACTTGCAGAAGCACCAGGAGGTGGGGACCCCTCGCAATGGGTGCTCCCGTGCCAGTGAAAGTTCGTAGCAGGAGTCTGGGGAGGGACTGTGTGTGTGGCATCACCCCCAGCTGCTGCCAGGCACAGCCCCGGTGGCCCCAGGGCCACGGACTGGGCCCACAGAGCAGAAAATCACCGAGATCAGCCCCACAGTCCCTTGGGCACTGCTTACGACTGTCCCCACAAAAAGAAGCAACTTAAGAAGTTATCCTTCAGAACAACTAGTAAAAAACAAACCGAAAACACCCCCATAATCACTAAAAAGCAGGAAAACGCTTTGTTGTGTGGAAATGCCTCCATGTGTGGTCCTGTTCTGCTTCCGTGGCCGCTGTCACTGAGCCACGCATTCACCACTGCAGTGACATACACACTAACACACACGAACACACACACACACACACACACACACACACACACACGCCATCGCAATCCACTCTGCGATAACCAGCTTGGCACACTGGACAGACAGCACTGTCTGGACTCGGCCAGCACTCAGCAGCTGCAGGGCTCTGTGTCCCCAGAGAGCCCCCATGCAGTTAGCTGCATCCCTGTCCTTCCAGACCGGGGCTCTATCCCCAGGGCAGTTTCCCCAGCCTCCGGCCAGGGCCCCTCCTGAAGGCGCCGGAGTTACCCCTCTTGCGGCCTGGGGCTCCCTGTTCTGAAGAAAAGACACGAATCAGACTGTGGGAAACTTCTCAGACTGTATCCCAGCAGGAGCTACTCCAGGCTCAGTGCTCACTGGACGAGGCAGGAGCGCGGATGGAACCGAGCGCTGGCTGTGAGCCTGGCACTAGCCCCGTGAGCTTTCCTAGCCCCCACTCAGATCTGAAATGCTACAGAATCTAACATCCGGGGCCAAAGCCCCCTGACCTCGGACACAGGCACCCCTCAGAAACGCTCTATTCCTCACGCCTCCCTGGGCGGCCCAAGCAGCGGGGCTGCACACCGCATGGCCCTCTGCACAAGGCCTTCGCCTCAGTTTCCCCGATGGTGTCCTGGCTCGAGCTCGCTTTAACCTTGGGCTGAAAGTCAGTGCCTGACATTTTCAAGTATTCTGACTTACACACAAAGGCCACACCTTTAAAAACAGACACTTTTGAGATTGATTTTACTCAGCTAACCTATTAGTAATGATGTCACTTCACTTACTGTTCTGGATGTCATAAATTTCATCGATGAGTCCTTCATATGTCAGCTGAGTCGCAAGGGGTGTTAATAAATCCACATTTCAATCAAGCAACAAGAGGTTATCAAAAACAGGAAATATTGAATTCTGACTTTCAGTAAACTCTCCCTTCATCCTGATCATCATATTGGCCACTTGCTGGGAACAAAGTACAGAATCAGGCAGAGCCTTTTTAGCAATGGGCGGATTTTAAAATGAAGCTAAAAGGAGCCCGGCAATTCAAAATTTAAAAATAAGACAGAAAGAAATGGAACAATAAAATTAAACAAGACAGGCCCGAGACAGTATGGTGGGTAGGATGCTTGCCTTGCAGGTGACTGACACAGGTTCAATTCCTGGCACCACATACGATCCCTCAAACCCTGCCAGGAGTGAGCCCCGAGCACTGCTGGGTACAGAGAGGGTGGGAGGAGGGAGAGGACGAGAGAGGGAGGGAGAGTAGGGATGGAAAAGAAAAGATAAAGAACAGAAAAGAGAAAAGGAAAGAGGGCTGGGAGACAGCAGAGAGGCCAGGGGTCACGCCTTGCACGCAGACAGCCTCAGTTTGGTGGCCCCAGCACAGAGCCAAGAGCACTGCGAGGTGGAGCCCCAAACCCCACCCGCAGGAGAGAGGCCTCCCTCCCCGCCCCGTCTCACCCTGGCGCACTCACCCTTGCAGAAGATCTAGGGGATGGTCCCGCACAGCCCTGCAGCGTCATCAGGCCCTTGGCCGCGTGGTACAGGCTCCTCTGGTCGCTGTCCAGGTAGCACTCCTGTGGTAGAGGGCCAGGCGGGCACAGGCTCTGTGAGTCAGCGCCGAGGCCCCAAGGCAGCACCTCGACTGGGGGCAAGCATTGGTGGGCGGGCGAGGAAAGGCTGGCCTCCGCATGCCCGCGTGACCACACAGCAGAACACTCTGGGCTTGTGGAAGGGCAGGCAGCCTCTCCCACATACAGCAGCGAGTGTCACAGGGGACAGCAGGAGGGCAGCCACGGTCTCGGACAAGGGCCACAAGGTCCATTTAACACACAGACAAAAAGAAACATCTTTGGCCCAGAAAGAGCAAAGAGCACACACACGCCCCACAGCTGGGCGGTTCAGCAGGGCTGACGGAGCACACACGGTCCCCAGCGGGGCCTCAAGATCTCTCCTGTGCCTGAATCCCTTCATCCAGCAAGTGCAGAGAGCAGAGGAGGGAAATCACACAACGCGCTTCACCTGCACTCCACCTGATGGGGCGGCACTGCTGGTGCCCATCGCAGGACTCTCTTTTTGATTTTTTTCTTTTTGGGTCACACCCGGCAATGCACTGGGGTTACTCCTGGCTCATGCACTCAGGAACTACTCCTAGTGGTGCTCGGGGGACCATATGGGATGCTGGCAATCAAACCCGCGTCGGCCGCATGCAAAGCAAATGCCCTACCTGCTGTGCTATTGCTCCAGCCCCTCATCGTGGAATCTTTGAACCTCTGTAAGGCAGCGGCCAACAGGCGTGCACCCCAAAGGCGTGAGGACGAGGGGTGCAGACTGAGGGCGGGCTGCAGAGGGAGACCTCCCAGAGAGCCTGGCCCAGAGTGAGCATAACATCTCCAAAGATCCCGTAGGATGTCTCTGCCAAGTCTGGGGTGCAGCCTCACACTTCAGTCCAAAACATCCTGGTCGGGATGTCCAAAGAGTCCTCAGAAATGGACCAGAAACTCCGCATTGGAGCAGAGCAGAGAGGAAGATTCAGTGGAAGGAAAGCATTAGGGGGACTCTTTCAAATTGCTCAGGGGCCCAGGTGACTGTTCAGAGCGGGAACTGTGTCTGCTTGCGGACAGCTAAGCCGGCTCCTGCCCGGCCCTGCCCAGCCCCGAGCACCCAAACAAAACATTCATTTTGAAAAACAGCGTATTACTACAGAGACACCTCTAACAACTCCCACCCAGTGAGGCTCAGGGGATACCCCTGGCTCTGCACTCAGGAATTATTCTGGTGGTGCTTCGGGGACCATATGGGATGCAGGGGATTGAACCTGGGTCAGCTGCGTGCAAGGCAAATGCCCTCCGAATGTATATAGCTCCAGCCCTTGCAATTCCTCTTTAAAAGCCCCTAGGGTCATAACTGGTGGTGTGTGGGTCCCTCCTGTCCTGAACTCGGGGCTCCCCAGGTGATGCGGGCTCGGGGGCCATAGTGGCTCAGGGCGGGAGAGAAGGCGTGAATGCAGCATCCACGGGGGCGAGTGGGGCCCTTGCCTCCGACCTGTCTCAGGTCTGTCTGTTCGGATGGCCTTGCCCCGCCCACGCAGGGCCAGGACCAACCCTGGGTGTGACCGAGACAGCTCCTATCCTCAGCTGGGCTGACCAAGCCGCTTCCTCAACGCTTTCGCACTGCCGACTGGGAAAGGGAGCAGAGAGGCCGCTCCCAGACCTGCAATGGCTCGGATGGAAGGCGAACCCCTAGTCCTGTCACCACACAGGGCCGGGCAGGCCCCTGTTCTGTCACCACACAGGGGCAGGCAGGCCCATATCCTATTAATACACAGAGGCATGCAGGCCTGTGTCCTGTCACCAAACAAGGGCATGCAAGCCCCTCCCTGCTTCATGACTGGGGTTGGGAGAGACCATCGGGGGAGCCCAGGAAAGTTCTGGATTCCACAGGCTTAAGCCCAGAGACGTGAGCAAACCCACAGGCAGCTGGATGACAGCAGCCCAGAACCCAAGCGAGCCCCAGGTTCTTTCTCTTAAGGTGCTGCTGAGACCAACATGCCGAGGGGAAATGGTGCGCGGAAATCTGGTGATGCACCTGCATTCTAGAAAGGTCGTGTCTTGAGACCAGCAGCAGCAGTACCACAAATTAACTCACACGCCCAAGGATTGCAGGGAAATGCGGTCGCATCTCAAACACACCTGCACAAGCTTTCAATGATAGAGGGCGCAGAGGGCGTAGACAGGCACTGGGAGCGTTGGGGTAATGCATGGGTTCAGGCTGACTCCCTGGCTTGGCACTGGGGGTCATACCTGGCGGGGCTTTGGGGACCATATGGGGTGCCAGGGAATGAACCCGGGTCTGCAAGGGACAAGGCAAGTGCCCTACCAACATTACTATCTCTCTGGCCCTGGTACGCCATTTTTAGAAGACATTTTCAAGCTGATGTGTTTCCCCCTTGCATCTTCCCCTTCATTCTGGTATTTATTTTCCCTTTCCCTCCCTTTCTCGCTGAGGCTGAGGGTCGCACACTCTAGGTGGTGTTTACCACTTTGGGGAGAGGGGTCCCACTCGGCCTGCCAGAACTCCAGCCATGCCCAATGTTCCCTATTTCCAGTGAAGAATATGCTATAGGAAAAACATGTGGTTGAAAACTCACATAAATCAATGCTTAGGGTTTACAGATTCCATTAAGGGCCTAAGCATGGAGAAACCTCACCCCACAGAAGAAAGAGCCAGAGTTCTGGCCCAGGTGCCCCTAAGAGCCAAGCTGACACTTTGAAAGAGAAATTTTTCAGAAGTGCTCCCTGTCATAAAGATAGTAAACAAAACATATAAAATCATATTTGCAAACAAAAATCCAGATTTCAGAAAAAGACAATATTTAAAAAAGAAAAACTCCGGGGGCCCAAATAGATAGTATAGTGGGAAGGTGCTTCCCTGGCATCAAAGAGTCAAATATGGACCCCTGAGGACCCCCAAGAGTAACCCCTGAGCATCACCAGGTGAGGTCCCAAGCAAAAACCAAAGCAAAGCAGACAAATAAATATGTGCTGAAAATAACCAGTAGGAAACGGGCTGGGACGGGCATGTGGGAGAAACAGAATTTCCCGCACACCCTGCACCCAGCCCTGAGGTCACACTGCAGAACCTCGAGTTTGAATGAAAAATGTAAGCAATTTTATTTCTAGAAAATGAAAATGTAAGATAAAAGTCTTCAGATCCTGCGAAGACTCAATCAAGGGGAAAGGCGAGTCATGGAAACAAAATCACTCACAAAGGGCTAACTGGAAAAACGCAGTGACAGACTTGACTCTTTCTGGCTGGAGCGGCCCTGCCTTCCACTCTCAAAGCTTCCTCCACAGCCACAGTGAATTCAGGGTGTGACAGGCACAAGGACAAATATCGAACAGCAGCAGAGAAACACCAGAAATCAACACATTTAAGGACAACTGATTTTTGAGAATTCAGTAAGGGCAACAACAATTTTAAGCCAATTTGTTGGAACAGGAGGTTCTCCATAAGCAAGAGGAGCAGCGGCCGGAGAGACAGCACAGGGGAAGGCGCTGGTCTTGCACGCAGCCAATCTGGGTTTTAGCCCCAGTACCACATATGGTCCCCGAGCATGCGCAGGAGTGATCCTTGAGCACAGAACCAGGAGTAAACCTTGAGCACTGCTGGGTGTGGACCAACTCCCATCTCTCCCCAAAAGGAAGAAACTGGACGCTTCCAGGAATCACTAAAATGCCAGCGTGAGTGTCACCATCACAAAAGAGGCAGAAACGAGTGTCAAGTTCAAAGGGCAAACACTGAACTTACTCTGAAGGCGCCCTCCGACTCCATGGAGAGAAGGTCCCTGTCGAAGGGAATGAGGTCCAGGCTGTACTCCTCCCTACGGATGAAGGAGCCCAGGACGCCCAGGTCCTTCAGCCGCTGCTCACACAGCAGGCTACGCCGGGGCACAAACAAAATGTGGAAATCTCTTGTGGGGCCACGTCTGTCTTCACTGCAAGAGAAGGACCGTGCCTTGGCCCGAGGCCCCGACGCGAGGACTGCTCCCCAGGGCCCCACCTGTGCCTGACACACAGTGGGCTCTAAAGAGACGCTTATGAGCTAACCCCCCACTACTGACTCGGCCCAAGTTTCAAGTTTTCCTGCTCTCTTGATGTGATGCTTTTACTGGAAACCGCTGACCTGTGCTCTGCCAAAGAGAAGTGCTGCTTTCTCTTGGGCCATTGATGGGACATGAAAACTCTCAGGGTTGGGGCTGGAGCAACAGTGCAGTGGGTAGGGCGTTTGCCTTGCACGCGGCCGACTCGGATTCGATTCCCAGTTCCCAGCATCCTGTATGGTCCCCTGAGCACCACCGGGGGTAATTCCTGAGTACAGAGCCAGGAGTAATCCCTGTGCATTGCTGGGTGTCACCCAAAAAGAGGGAAAAAAACCCAAAAACCTCTCAGGGTTATTGCAATGGACATCTGTTTCTTGCAGAAAAAAAAAAAGTTTCTATTTAATCAAGCGGTGTCGCTAGGAAAATAAAAGGTTGCTCCACACCGTGCCCGATCTTGTGCAAATACCCCGCATGCTTTTAAGTCCTTAGGGGCCATGTCGATCAAACGTAATGCAGACTGGGCTGGTGCACTTCCTCCATAGATGTTGCAGCATTAAATTTTAATCAGCTTCTCCTGACTTTGCTTATGAAATTTTGGCATATGGTATCAGTACTTGAAGAAGAACCATTAGCTGCTTTTCTTTTTATAAAGAAATTTGGGTCCTTCTACTGCGACAGGCTGGAGCTTTCTACTGTCCTGAGAGAGTGGGTTTCTGTGGTTTGCCCTGCCTCCCCAAGCCCAAATCTACAAAGTTTCCCATTCTCTATTTATAGTTTTTGGGCCACACCTGCAGGTGCTCAGGGATAACTCCTGGCTATGCACACAGAAGTCACTCCCGGAAGACTTGGGGACCACACTGGGTTCCGAGGATCTATCCTTGGCTGACTGCAGAGTATCCTACTCCTGACCCCCCATTCTCCTCTGACACACTCTCACATCTGTCCAAAGATCCACTTCCTAAAGCGCTGGCAAGCAAAGGTGTCCTGATGAGCACTAAAACCACCAGAGGAATGATTCCGTATGGATCAAGCATCAGCTCTGAGATACCTAAGTACATTTTCAGCAATTATATCCATCAGTTCTAGTGGGCGTCTGACAAAAAAATGATATTCTTGACATCCGCTGCTTGCACCAGCTTCCTTTGAGTGTGAACATTTTCTCCACCTCATGTTCCTAGGAAAGCACACATACAAATGGTGAACAGAACCCCTAAAGCTTAGCAGCCGACCCAAACTTGGACATCACTGCAGGCAGCCAACCCGGGTTGGATTGCCGGTCTCCCACTCCGTCCCCAAACACCACCAAGAGTCATTCCTGAGTGCAGAGCTAGGGGTAAGTCTGAGCACTGCCTGGGGTGGCCCAAACAAAACAGACCAACAACAAAAACTCAGGTGTTCTAACACTCCCACTCCAAAGCACAGTAGACTTTAGTGTTGAGTCAGAGAATGCAGGGGTTATGGTACATGCCTGACACATGACTGCCAACTTCGCCCCCTGGCACCACAAGGGTCTCAAGCATTGCCATGTGCATCCCAAGAGAGGCCACTGGAGTGGCCTGGGATATCCCTGCCACCACAGCGCCAAGCCTCATCGAAGTGCTAAGAATCACCACCAGGAGGTGCCCTGGGGCAGTGCTCAGGAGATCTGGGGCTAGGGAGAAAGTAGAGTGGTTAAGGTTCTTGCTTTGCATTCAGCTGACCCGGGGTTCTATCCCCAGCACCCCATACTATCCACTGAGCACTGCCAGGAGTGATCCTGAGTGCAAAGCCAGGAGTAAGTCCTGAGCACTGCCTGGCACGAGCCCCCAAATAAAATTCAAAACCACTTTAGGATAAAAATTTAGATTCCCCAAAGCCAGGTGTATAAATTCAGGCTGAAGTAACCAATCCTGTGTCTGAAAAACTTGGAGCCACATGAAGTAACAATCAGAAGACATGCCGCTCCGTCGAGGAGAAGAGGGGGGAGCACACCCACCCTTGAAAGGTCCACTGAAGGCTCCTATGCTGCCCGAGCCCCTGAGCTGCTTGTGCCCATGTAGCCGAGCAAATGTGGTGCCTGCAGCTCTCCTTGAGATGGGGACTTTTGTGCTTTCCTTTCTAATGTTGGGATGTGTGTAGGGGCTCTCTCTGTCTTTGGAGAAGCCCACGGTCTCTCCTGAAATGTTACTCTCTCTCCGCTCGTCCTCTTCCTAAAGGTCACCAAATAAAATGTTTTTTTTTTACTTCAAATAAATAAACAAAAGGTCCACAGAAGATAAAACATTTACCACTCATAACAGCATCAGTGATTCTAAAAACCAGACAGCTCTGCACACCAGTTACTCCAGAAGTGGAACATCATATTACTCTTGCTAGAGTCCAGAATGACAGTTTCAAAAAAAGTAATAATAACCAAAACCTTTTTACCTTTAGAAGTGAGTACTGTGCAATCAACCCAAACGGTCCTGTGAGATACTCATCCCAAACTATTGCCTGCGGGAGGAAGAAGCATCCCATTCTTTTAGTAAAAGCAATTTCAGTAATGGCCAACAGCAAACAACAGTCATTTGCAAACTCTGGACAAACAAAATTTGCATTTAGCAATAGCTGCATATGAGCCACACTCATATTCCGTGGCCTGAAGAAAAACAGCATCAGGGCAAGGGGTGCTATTGGCCACGGAAGCACATTCACTGTCATCCACAAAGAGTGTGTATGCAGTGTCCTGGGGTCAGACTGGGGTCATGAACCCCATGGGTGAACTGCCAAGGAAACTGTGGAGGAACAGGCATCTGGAAAAGTGGTTCCCAGGGTAGCATGCCGTGACACCCCGCACACGGGGACAGCGGGGAGTGCCTGGACGTGTTGTTGCGCTCTTCCTGTGGAGAGCGACTCGAGTCGGCACCGTTTTCCTTCCCAGAGCCGAGCCGCAGGGGCGGGGAGCGCAACGCCCCCTCTCTCTGGGCATCTGGCACTGTGGGTGCCCCCGGCCCCAGAGGCCGCTGCCCACCCGGGCCCTCAGCTTGCTGCCCCCGCACTTGTCCAGGAACTTGCACAGCAAGTTCAGGTCACCTGCTCTAAGGACAGGTGCTTGGCCTTGGCACCGTCCAGCCCCGCCCCCACGTGACGCCGCGGTCACGTGAAAAGAGTGACATCACACCGCCTTCTGAAGCTAGAAGCCACTGGAGTCCCCGGGCCTCTTTCTGGTCTTGCCCTCCACCTCTTGGTTCCACCCTGCCCGGGACCATCCCACCCTGGGACCAAGGCTCCCGCAAGGTCCCCGCCGCGGCCCGCGAGCCCCCGGGAGCCGAGAACTGGTGTCAGAGACAGCAGCGCTGGTGCTAAGATGTCGGGGCAACCCCTGCCCGTGCAGCCCCTGCACACCGCCGGTGGGGCGCAGAACATTGGTTTTGTTTCTTTGGTTGAAATAAAATAAAGAGAAGGGACCAGAGCGACCGCACAGCGGTTAGGACGTTTGCCTTGCACACGGCCCACCCGGGTTTGATCCCCAGCATGCCATAGGGTCCCCCAAGCAACACCAGGCTTAATTCCTGAGTGCAGAGCCAGGAGTAAGCCCTGAGCATTTCTCGATGTGACCCAAAAAGCAAAATAAATAAATAAAAGAAACGAAATGACTAAAGATAAAATTGGTCTTCGTCCTGCTTAAAAGTCTCACCTTCGGGGGCTGGAGATAGTACAGGGATTAAGGCATTTGCCTGCAGGCGGGATATGCTTCATATGCTTCAGCCCCTGCAGCCCCCCAAAGAACGCTGATGATTAAGGCTCCGTTTGGACCAGGGAGAGGCGCCAAGCTTCGGAAGCTTCTGGAGCGTGGGAACTGACTCCCACCACAGCTGCCCGGTGAGGCTTTGCTAGCATCACTCACCAGCCCACTGCACTGCTGCTCGCTCAAAATTTCAAGATTGACTTAAATTTGTTTTTTCTTTTTAAAAATGTTATTTTCTTTTGAATTTTTTAAATCCTAATGAAATACAGAGTTGATCATGATTGGATTTCAGTCATATCATGTTCCAACACCTGTCCCTTCGCCAGTGTACATTGCTCACCACCAATGTTCCCAGTCTCCCTACGCCCCCAGGCAGGCAAGGCACCTCTCTCTCCCTCCTCCTTTCTGCAGTGCTCTCTCTCCACTCCCTCTCTCCCTCTTTTCTCTCTCCCCCTGTCTCTGACACACGCCTTTTGGTTTAGAATACAGATATTGAAAGATTATTATGTATATCTCTTTACCTACTTTCAACACCCAGTTCCGTCCAAAGTGATTTCCAACCATTTCCAAGCATTATTGCCAGACTGGTCCCTACTCTATCATAACTATCCTCTGTCCCCGATGCTTGTGGTAGCTTCCAACCATTGACCAGTCCTCCTGGACCCATTTTCCTAGCCTTGGATATCAATCTCATATATATATGTGAATATATATACATATATATATATTATGGGCTGGAGCCATAGCACCGCGGTAGGGCGTTTGCCTTGCACGCAGCCAACATGGCCGACCCAAGTTCAATTCCTCCGCCCCTCTCGGAGAGCCCGGCAAGCTACTGAGAGTATCTCGCCCGGATGGCAAAGCCTGGCAAGCTACCCGTGACGTATTCAATATGCCAGACACAGTAACAACAAGTCTCACGATGGAGTTGTTACTGGACCCGCTCAAGCAAGTCGATGAACAACGGGAGTTGAAATATTGAATGTAATCAAATAAATTGGTGTTGAAATATTGAATGTAATCAAATAATGTGAACAACCTTATGAAACAACAAAAACAGCAACAACAGAACCCAACAAGGGCCAGAGCAATAGCTTAGGTATCTGCTTTGTACCCCACTGACCTGGGTTGATCCCCGGCACCCGACATGGTTCCCCAAGCCTTACCAGGAGCGATTCCTGAGTGTAGAGCCAGGGGTAAGCCCTGAGCACCACGGGGTTTGGTCCCCAAACTAACAGGCAAAATAAAACATAACAAGGAAGCAACACAGCAAAGAAATATTACCTGATTCTCCTGGGCCCTTTCGTCCTCATCTGCTCGAGAATCAGAATTACCTTTTAGTTAAAAAACAAAGAGTGAGTGTAGGTCTTTGAAAATGTGCCTTTTGGGGGCAGCAACATTTCAGCAGGTAGGGGGTTAGATCTCTGGTCCCCTGAATGGTCCCCTGAGCAGGGTGATCCCTGAGCAGAGCCAGCAGTAAATTCTGAGCACCGCAAGGTGTGACCCCAAAACCAAACTGACCCCCATCCCCAAAGTGCCTTTTCGCCTTGTTTCGGGCTCTTATTTTGGCGCCAGTGCTTGTGGACCCAGGGATGCTACCGTGAGCCCATGCTCCGGGCAGGTGCCCAAGTTCACCCTCCTGTGCAGCCAGCTGGGGGGAGGGGGGCAGGGCAGGGGGGGCTGGGGCCCCCGGAGGTTTGGGGGAGGGCAGAGAGCAGGCAACCCTCAGCGGTAGCATTTTACCTGCAGAAATCTGGAGTTGCCTTCTGTTCTCTTTGAGTTGAAGCTCCAAGTTTTTGACCTTGAGCTCCAGTTTCACCTTGTCAGATTCCAGGGACTGAACAACTGAAAGCAAGGACTTGGCAGAGGCATTTTCTGCCCTGAACAGGGAGACCTGCAACACAGGGGTGTGGCTTAGGCCCACATGGCTGTGACCCCCATGTGGGTGTGGCCTGGGCCGACATGGGAGTGGCTCAAGCCGGAGTGGGCATGGCTCAGGCCAATTTGGGCGTGGTTCAGAGTGAGATGAGCGTGGCTCGGTCATGTAGGCGTGGCCCTGGCGGAGATGGGCTTGGCTCGGGTCCAAGTGGGCGGGGCCGGGACTCAACCTCATTCCTCAGCTTCTCCAGCTCTGTGTCCTTCTCCGTGAGCATGTTACTGGTAATACTGATGGATTTCTGCAGGGAAGCTTTCTCTTCATCGGAGTCTCTTATGAACTCGGATTCTCTAAAAGACAAAAGAGTTCACGAATCATGACCATCCTGTTATTCGTGGATTGCCTCGAGCAGGCCCCAGTAATGTCTCCTTCATCCTAGCCCTGAGATTTTTAAGAAAGTGCTATTTCAAGGCTCTTTAATAGAATGAGACCCATCACTGTTACTGGAATTTGGTATATTGGGTACGCCACGGGGAGTTTGCCAGACTCTGCCGTGTGGGCAGGTTACATTTGGTAGCCTGCCAGTTTGTCCAAAGTAGGAATGAGATAATAAGATGTTATAATAAGATGTCGCACGGCCGCAAATGCGGCCGCGCGATTCCTGGAGCTGGTTTTTATAGTCTCTGAGTCTTGGCCATTGATGGGATTATACGGCGCCAGGGGGTCAGTTGGTGGGTGTGACCCCCGCCTCCCCAGGAAAAAAGAACTAAAAATCAGGGCTGGGGAGATGGAAGGACTTGCACCCAAGTACTGCGTCCCTCAAGTACCCCCAGGAGCAGCCAATATATCCTCGCCCTGCAGTGAGCCAGGACTGGACGAGCACCACAGGGTGTGGCCCAAAACAAAACCAAAAGTAGGGCAAAAAAGAATCAGGGCAAGGAGATCAAGGTTAGAGCTTACACCCCGTGTGCTGAAAGGCAGAAAAGGACCCATGCTGCGGGCACCCCCGCCCTGGAGCCTGCCGGTCTGAGCCCTAGGTCCCAGGGACTTCTTGGAACTGCCCAGAACTGCTAAAGCTCCAAGCGCTGCTGGGAAGAGTTCCAGTATTCCTAGGAATATCTCCAGTGCTACTGGATTAAAGCCCCAGTACTTCTGAGTAAGTCCACCAGTACTGCTGGGAGTAGCCCTGAGCACTGCTGGGTATAGCCCCAAGGACTGCAGGGTGTGGCCCAGCACTGGGCAGGTGCTGTGTCACCTCGAGGGCCCAGGCCCTAATGCCTGCAGGCTGCCAGCCCAATGCTGCCAGTCCCTGCCCCCGAGTGCCGGGAAGGCTTCTGCACAATCAGTTTATTTTTTTTAAGTTTTTCCTGGGGGTGGGGGCAGAGGGAGAGGCCCAAATGCCCAGGTGCGTTTGCCTGGCACATGACCCAACCTGAGTTCAATCCTCGGCTTCCCATAGGGTCCCTGAGCTCCACCAAGAGTAATTCCTGAGTGCAGAGCCAGGAGTAAGCCCTGAGCACTGCCGGGTGTGGTCCAAAAAAAGGGTGTTTGCCTTGCAAGCGGCCAACATGGCGACCCGAGTTCTCTTGAGAGCCCGGCAAGCTACCGAGAGTATCTCGCCCGCACAGCAAAGCCTGGCTAGCTACCCGTGATGTATCCTATTCAATATACCAAACACAGTAACAATTGTCACAGTGGATACGTTACTGGGCCCGCTCGAGCAAATCGATGAACAGTGTCAGTGACGGGGACCGTTGGGGCTACACCTGGCGATGCTCAGGGGCCACTCCTGGCAGACCCAGGGGGACCTTATGGGGTGCCGGGATTTGAGCCCGCGTCTTCTGCACGCCAAGCAAGTGCCCTGTCTACTGTAGTGTCTCTGGCTCCCACACGCTTCTTTTAAAGAACCAAGAACATGGGGGCAGAGAGGCAGCACAGGGGTCTGCGCCACATGGTCCCCAAGCACTGCTGCAGCTGGGATGGCCCCCGCGACTCGCCCGCCCAGGCTACAGCAGGGGCTGCAGGCGGGCCCCAGCCCAGAGGGCCCAGGTCACCAAGGTCTCTGTGACCCCCATGCGGAAGCAGAAGAGCCCCCAGCTCTGACCCCAGGGCCCCATGCCCCCTCATCTCCCACCATCCCGCTAGGGGCGCTGAGGGTGCCCCACCCACCGAACCAGGGCACAGGCCGCCAAGAATCAGCGGTCCCCGGGGGCTGTACAGAACCCCCAGGCCCCCAGCAGAGCCAGGGCACAGCGCTGCCTCTGCTCCCTCGGAGGGACCCTCCCGGGAAGCTGGGGGCGGGGGGACGAGGGCGCCCTGGCGTCATCTCCCTTGCACTGCCAGCTGGCCTTGCGAGGGCATGTTCCCCGCCCCCGCCCCACCCGGGCTCCTGGGAGCGGTCTCAGGGTGTCCTCGGATTCCCCTGGCCATCGCCGGGTCCTGCCCAGTGAGGGACCGACCTGCAGCACCAGCAGGCAGATGAGCGGCTTGCCCCGCCCTCTGCTGGCCGCCGTGCGAACTGCAAGGTGCCGGGCCCTGCCTGGGGGGGGATCCCGCCCACCCGCACCCAGCAGCGCCTCGCTCAGGCCCGGGTCCCCGCGTCCCGGGGGTTCCCTGCCCGCCCCTCGGGGAATGGCCCGTGGCTGCGGAGCCGCAGGAGGGGGCAGGGGTCCCTGGGGGGCCTCCGGCCGGATGCCCAAGCTCCGTGGCGCCAGGTTGGTTGGCGGGGGCCGGAGCAGGGCCGGCGACTCCCGGCGGGCGACCCCCGGCGCCCGTCTCCCCGACGCGGGGAGGACCCCAGTCCCCGGCGCCCAGCGAGGCGCACCCCGAGGCCACGTGACCGTCTTTCCTGGGGGCAGCGGTGGGCGGGCCCCGGGGAGCGCAGGGCCCGCGAGTCCTGGGACACGGACGCGGCACCCGGGCGCGGGGGTCTGAGTCCGGAGGCGTCTGTCTGCGGGCCTGGGCGGCGGCCTGGGCTTCCGGCCCCTCGGGCTGGGCGGGGCGGGTGGCAGGGGCCCCTGGAGTGTGGCGCAGGGTCCGGGTCCGGCGGCGGCGTCGGGCTCAGTCTTCGGGCTCCGCGTCTCCATCCTTGGGGTCACCCGGCTCTGCGCGGTCTAGGAGATGGGGGTCAGCGGTGGCCCGGCGGCCCGCACATGCGGGCAGGGGGCTGTCCCCGCTGCAGCACCCCCGCCCGAAACTCACCACCCACGCCCACGCCTGCTCCGGGGCAACCTCCACTCCAGGTGGGGAAACTAAGGCTCAAATGTAAGCAGCAAGGCGTGGACGGGCTCGGCTTCTTCTGACCCCGAGGTTGGGGGTCTCTCCTGCATCCAATTCTCCGAGTCGGAGGGCCCGACCTCTGCCCCCCCCCCCCGCCCTCCCACCTGGCCCCGGGGGCAGGTCTCGGCAGAAGGGGAGGGGGCCAACCATCCTCTCCCCACCGCGCCCTGCTGTTGCTGCAGCTGGGCACGAACCTCCGGGAACCCCCAGCAAACTGAGTCTCCTTGGACCCGCTGGCCACGGACTGCTGGTCGCAGACCCTGAGGGTTCTCACGGCCCCTGGGGTCTCGACTTCCCTTCCTGTGCCAGAAATCAACCCAGAGGGAGGCCAGTGCACAACTGCCCTAAAACCCACGCTCAATGGCTCCCAGACTATTGCGGAGGGAGGGGCCCAGGCTTTGATGCTTGCAGAAGTTTAGTGAAATTTTACTGACTGTGAGGGAGAAAAAGTTTGCCTGTGTGTACATGCCAGAACCAGCGTATCATTGTGTCCATTTGAATTTAAAGAAACAAGTTAATAACTTTGGGAAATGGAGAACAGAAAGAAAAAAAGAACTTGTTGCAGCCCCACCCCACCCCCCAAAAAAGAATTCTTTTAAACACCTAATCCCAGGAAGAAGTGCTATTTCTTGAATAAATGATTAGCAAGCAATGACAACAATTAAAACACACACAAAAGGACGTGTGTGGGGGAGCACAGGGTGGGGACGGACGTTCAGCCAAGAATGGGCAACGCCACAGCCTGGAAAGGACATGAGAGGGGACAGAAGTGTGGCTCGTGGGATGCATATTGGGAGAGAGACAGAGGTGCGTGTGAAGTGGGGGATCTCATTAAAGTCTGGGGTCCAGGACAGTTGTGGCTGTTCGTATCCTACTCAGTGGTTCGAATCTGTGCACCCCTGGGAGAAGCCGGCAGGGCCACTGGGTACTCCCTCCATCCCACCTTGCGGCACTGGGTCATGCATGTTTAGATCACATGCACTGGGCCATAGCACCAGTGATGCAGGCAGGTGACACATTGAATGAGGCGTAACTTACAGCAACAAGCCGAGTCTCCCTGGTCCCCGGGTGAGTGGGTGAACAAGGAGCATGTTCCGAGTGTCAGATGCCTCCGAAAACTGACAGGAGGAATCGGAGACTGAGGCCCACGTTAGAAATGGCAGAATGTATGTCTGGTTAGTGAGACCCAAGATATCGACACACACATTAAAGAATTCTCATGGGTTTACGGCAAACGGGAATTCTCACAGAGATGAAGAGAGAAGTGTGTATTTATCTCAGTGCTTGCTTTGCATTCAGCTGACCCGGGGTTCTATCCCCAGCACCCCATACTGTCCACTGAGCACTGCCAGGAGTGATCCTAAGTGCAAAGCCAGGAGTAAGTCCTGAGCACTGCCTGGCACGAGCCCCCAAATAAAATTCAAAACCACTTTAGGATAAAAATTTAGATTCCCCAAAGCCAGGTGTATAAATTCAGGCTGAAGTAACCAATCCTGTGTCTGAAAAACTTGGAGCCACATGAAGTAACAATCAGAAGACATGCCGCTCCGTCAAGGAGAAGAGGGGGGTGCACACCCACCCTTGAAAGGTCCACTGAAGGCTCCTATGCTGCCCGAGCCCCTGAGCTGCTTGTGCCCATGTAGCTGAGCAAACGTGGTGCCTGCAGCTCTCCTTGAGATGGGGACTTTTGTGCTTTCCTTTCTAATGTTGGGATGTGTGTAGGGGCTCTCTCTGCCTTTGGAGAAGCCCACGGTCTCTCCTGAAATGTTACTCTCTCTCCGCTCGTCCTCTTCCTAAAGGTCACCAAATAAAATGTTTTTTTTTTACTTCAAATAAATAAACAAAAGGGCCACAGAAGATAAAACATTTACCACTCATAACAGCGTCAGTGATTCTAAAAACCAGACAGCTCTGCACACCACTTACTCCAGAAGTGGAACATCATATTACTCTTGCTAGAGTCCAGAATGACAGTTTCAAAAAAATAATAATAACCAAAACCTTTTTACCTTTAGAAGTGAGTACTGTGCAATCAAGCCAAATGGTCCTGTGAGATACTCATCTCAAACTA